GGCACTCTTATGCGTGGAATGAGCTCTACGAGGTTCCCGGCAGTGACTAGGTTGACGGTTCACCGACGGCGCCAGTTCCGGCGCGCTGGAGAGCTAGTTGGCAAGAAAAATCTCGACGGAACTTTTGATGACTTTTGCTCGGTTGAAAATTTCGTTCTCGAAATTTCACAATTCGTTTGAGCTCTAGTATTTTTTCCCGTGATATTCGATCTTATTCCCGCTCGCCGTCTCGATCTCAGCTCGATCGGGTAACTTTCAAGGCCAAAAAGCACTCTGGCGGGAACGGCCGTTTCGAGTCATCTTGATACGCGCTGTCGGTTTTCTGAACATAACTCGAGCTCTAGGGCAGCTACAGAGCTGGTAAGCACAGCTAATGCATGCAGAATGATCAGGCGCGTTCGCCTGTCGAACCGAGAGGTCTGAACTCGGTCTGTCAGCCGAGCTAGGTCCGCAAACCTGTTTGTATTATTCGAGTCAACTTGATACGCGTTGTCGGTATTTTCTACTTAACTCGAGCTGTAGGGCAGCTACAGTGCTGGTAAGCACTCGTATCGCACTCAGAATGATCAGACGCGTTCGCCTGTTGAATCCATAGGTCTAAACTCGGTCTGCTAGCCGAGCTAGGTCCGCAAACCTATTCGTATTATTCGAGTCCACTTGATACGCGTTGTCGGTATTTTCTACTTAACTCGAGCTGTAGGGCAGCTACAGTGCTGGTAAGCACACCTATCGCACTCAGAATCATCAGGCGCGTTCGCCTGTTGAATCCAGAGCTCTGAACTCAGTCTGTTGCGCGATCCAGAATCACGAAACTGTTCGCATTCTTCCAGTCATCTTGAGAGCTACAGTCGGCGTTCTGCACTTAATTCGGGCTGTAGGGAGGCTGCAGGGCGGGTAATCACAGGAATCGATCCGGAGACATCAAACGCGTCCGTCTGTCGCATTCAGAGGTCTGAACTCGGTCTGATACTCGAGTTGGGCTCAAAAACCATTCGTTCTCTGCAATTTTTTCCGACAGTATATGTTGTCAGGAAGCTCTACGAGTCCCCCGGCGGTAACAAAGGTTGACGGTTTACCGCCGGCGCCCAGTAATTCCGGGGAGCTGGAGAGCTAGTTGGCAACGAAAATCTCGACGGACCTTTTGCTGACTTTTGGTCGGTTAAAAATAACTCGTAGAGCTTCCCTTAGCAAGTTATTGCTTGAAGCTTAAGAGTAATTCCAGGGAGCTGGAGAGCTAGTTGGCAAGAAAAATCTCGACGGACCTTTTGGTGACTTTTGGTCGGTTGAAAATTTCGTTCTCAAAATTTGACCATTCGTTAGAGCTCTAGTATTTTTTCTCATGATATATGATCTTATTCCCGCTCGCCATCTTGATCTCAGCTCGATCGGGTGACTTTGAAGGCCAAAAAGCAGGCAGGCGGGAATGGCCGTTTCGAGTCATCTTGATACGCGCTGTCGGTTTTCTCAAGATAACTCGAGCTTCAGGACAGCTACAGAGCTGGTCAGCACAGCTAATGCATTCAGAATGATCAGACGCGTTGGCCTGTTGAATCCAGAGGTCTGAACTCGGTCTGCTAGCCGAGCTAGTCCATTTGCAGTGCATCTGCAGCGGCTGTCCAATGGTGAGCACGGTCCTGAGAATTTGCGGCGTTATCCGCGCTTTCTTCATTCGGTTTGTGTTAAATTTGCGCGAAAACAAAACGGATGCCTTCTGAGCGCTGATATTCTCAGAAGAACGCCAATGCTGTGCGCGCTTTGGGTTTTGTTGAGCATGTTGTGCAGATCCGGTGGCTACGGGGCAAAATTCCACCAGGATGCTCGGTCGGATCCTAGAGAAATTCACAGAAGAGCGCCAGCGCCGTATGATTTTTTGGGAGGTACCTCGGCGCGCGGCAGAAATGGCCGCGAACACACCAAAAAAGTTCACCTGGATGCCTGGTAAGACCTTATTGAAATCCCCAAAAAACCTTAAGAGGAGTGGCGTATTTTCAGGTCTCTGCCTGCCTTGCGAAAATCTCAGGGGCGCTTTTGGGAATGGCGCCGCCGAGCAATTCCCCGCCGGGTGTTTTTTGACATCGTCGAATATTCTCCCCGCGCTCAGTGACCATGCGGCGCAGCGAAGCGGCAAGAAGCACACGCCGCACAAATGGGTCCCCGGACACCTCTGTCTCTTCTGTAGCTGCAGATGCGCTGCAAATTGACAGTCAACCTTGGTTGACCGGAAGCCTCGAAACATGTCTCCTGGCATACCGTCGCGCAATATGTCTCCCTGCTGCGCCCGAAATCGGCACTCATGGTAGATGACACTGCCGTTCACACTTTCACGACTTGGATGCCCGAGCAAGCAGTCCTCCGTGCGCTGCCACTCAGATGAATGATTTTCTCGTCGCTGTCTTCCTGCGGCACCTCGGATGACGACGGCGCTTTGTTTGATGGCTTGGGTAGGAGTGCCCCTTGCTGTGCTATGCCTACGGTGGTACTCGCACCCGCAGCTACCGGGCACTCCGCGCGTGCTGCGCGAGACTCTTGAAGCACGATGTTGCTCTCCGTTAATGCAAGCCATGTACCCCGCAAACGAGATGGGTCCATACCCAATCTCTTCAAGGTGCCTCTGATAGACCGCATGAAAGCTTCTCGCGGGCGAGGTCGCTCTTTTGTCGCAAGCCAGACAACGCAACTCGCGCCGCCCGCGCCTCCGTCGCGGAACAACGCGGAAGTAGCGCAATGTTCTTCGCTCCACGCCCGTAGGCGCAGTAGCTCGTCGTCTGACAAGGGTGGCAAAATGGCTTTGTATGACTTGCTGCTCATCTTTAGATTTGCTGCCCAAATGTGAGCGAATCCTCCGGCATCTTTCACCGACTCTGCTCTTCATGGTTTTTCCTTGCGTGGCATGCAGGGCAAAGTGGCTGTAGCCCGTCCAGGTCGTTGTCCAAACGCTGGCCAAGTTTGAGCCTTCTGTGGAGTGGTACAATATGGTCCACATGGAAATCCGAACGGAGCGTCTCTTTGCATCTGGCGCATCGCCAACCGTATTTGGCGCCCACCTCTTTCATGGTGTGTGCGGAAATACGCTTACGGCTCGCAGTGGTCGTGCTGGGGCGCGGCGCGCTGTTTACCCGCCTGTACGTAGTGGCAGGCGGCTCGGCGTCGTCGTCTTCGTCGTCATTGTAACGGTATTCGGCAAGGTCCCGTATGCTGCCCTCTAATGCGTGCCATGCGGACTCGCGCAGTCCTCCAGAACCCGCCGCTGGACCGCACCACGATATCAGAGTGCAGATGACAAGAAGGACACAAAGCACCTTCAACTGGAACCACATATTTTTAATACAAGACGGTGCCTACGCCGAAGGACTGTGGCGCTTCGCCCGCAGCCGCCGCGCTAGCTCAGCTGACCCGGCACCCCAGCCGCGCAATCGGCATTGAGACAGCGTGGCTGGCTGGTAACCCTCATGTGTTGGGGCCGGACTGTTCTTGTACCAGAGGCGCTGGGGCACCAGGTGTTCGTACTTCCCGGAATACTTTGCCAGAAAGGCTGCCTCGTCGGAGACGTGCTGGAAAAGTGCGCTTCCGAAACCTTGCTGAAAACATTTGCCTCTGTCCCCAATTTCCAGATGGCCCCCATTGATCTTCAGCTGGGGGTCCAGCTTGTTGTTTCCACAATACACTTTCGGTTTTCTGGGCTTCGTGGCGCGATGCGCTGTGCTTTCTCGGGAGCTGCTGCGGCGGAGACCAGAGGTGCTTGGCGCCTTCGTGGGAGAGGCGGCCTGGGCGTGGGTTTCACGTTTGGCTGCTCTAGTTCTCAACTTCTCTTGGAGTTGGAGCCGCGCTCTTTGCTCCATCTGCTCAGCACCCGGGGATTTTGCCGAAGTCGCGTACGAATCCAGGAATGGTGAATGGTGCTCTGCGTGTATTGACCGGGATCGGCTTTCCTTTTCTCTGTCGCCTCCGGCAGCACCTCCATCCTTGCCGTGGGCTTGTGTTTGCGTGGCCGATCGTTTCGGCGTCGACGGGGAGAACCGAATGTCTCTGCTTCCAGATGCTGACGCCTGCGATCTCCCTCGTCGACTTTCTTGGGGCTGCGTGACGTCGTCGACGTGACTCGCCGAAGATTTGTGGTGGTTGGTGCTGTCGCGCGGGCCGGAATCGTGCGGGGAGCTTTGCCGCTGTTTGCCACCTGCGCTGAGGGGCTTCGCTGGGCTATAAAGCGGGTGCACCCGACTCATGTCGTTCACGCTCTTGCCGCCATATTGTACCCGAGCTGTTGGCACGAACGGCGGCGATGCGTTTTGCGTCGCGCTGCCGTGGGTGAGTAAGTTGGCCCAATCTGCGTGGGTCGCCATAGTGTTTGACAAGGCCATCGATCCCAGAGGGCGATGGCGCTGACAGCCACACACGCGATGCTGTCGCGGCCGCCTGCAATTGCGCGCCGACAGCCACACACGCGATGCTGCACATGCGGACGAATGCAGCTCGCGGCACGGTGCGACGCAGATTTCACCAGGTCTATGTTAAAATGGCTTGCGAGTTAGCGGAGTTTCTCGAACATAACCCTGGCGAAGTTGACGTAGTTCGTTTGAATTCAGATCGATGGACCGAGGATCACAAAGTAATAATGGAAGCGCTCACAGAAGGTGTTAGGATTTTCTTGCGACACCGCGGGCATCTGTCGTTTGAGCAACTCCTGCATGATTTCCAGGAGTGTCAGCCGTGCGCAGTGAGCGGCACATTGCAAGCCTCCCTTCTCTACGGTCAAGAACAGGGTATGTACCTCGACAACAACGGTAAGCTGAAAATGGATGTCAAAGGTTTGGTCTTGAGGAAGGCGTGAGCGCGACGACGCGGACGTCGTTGTCGTCTTCGGCGCAGGGCGAGGCGTCGGCGCCACGTGCGGATGGAAGTGCTGCGCCGCGAAATGCGCACTCACTCGCACAGACGCTCAGAGCCTCGCGGGGAGTGATGAGCACACACCAACGCCCCCGCAGCGGCACGTCGATGCAGAGGCGGCGCAGAGCAGTACGAACGGTGCGCGAGAAGCTGGCGCAAGTGCGAAGCTCGGCCCTGAGGCCCACGAACACGGCGCCGCCAAGGTCGTCACGGAAAACGATCGATTGTGCGCAATGAAGATCGGCCCAGCGACGCAGGTTGGCCACCTGGTCCTCGCGCAGCATGGGGAGCGTGCAGCGGAAGGCCTTGGAAGTCTGCATGTTCGACTCTTTACTGGGGGCATGATGTCGACGTGGCACGACGTGTGGCGGTTGCCCAGCGACTCCATGTCCAATGCACATGCTGCAGATTAGCTCCCCGAGGACTTATCGGCGTACCCGTATCCGGGGCTGGGGAATGTTCAACGGCGCGGAACCCATAGTTGAGGATCCGGTGTCGCGCGGTACGGCGTGGTCCCGACAACACGCGGAGAGGCGGCCAAACCCTCGGCGTATGCGTCAGAATCCCTGTGGAGACAGTGGAGAGCGTCAAGAAATCATGCACCGTCGATTACGCTGGCATCCAAGGTCATGTCTATACGCTGCTGCTGGAGAGCGGCAATTATTACGTTGGGTGGAGCAGCACGGTTGAATACCGCATCGCGCAACACTTCTGCAGCGCGAGCTCGAAATGGACAATGCAGCACAAGCCGCTCCAAGTGCTGGCTTGCGTCGCTGGCGACACGCGGCTCGAAGATATCGTCACCATATCGCTCATGAGGCAATTCGGCTGGGAGCGGGTGAGGGGTGGTCGTTGGTGCCAGCTGGCTCTCGAAGGGCCGCCAGACGCAGTGATGCGGGCGATGGCTCCCCAGAAGCCTCGACCAGATCCGTGCAACGGGCATGCTGCGCCGGACGGCGGGGCGTGCTCCGCCTCGCGGGGCACGGCTCAGGACGGCGAGCCTGCACCTCCCCAGCCTGGAGAGCAAGAGGTGCAGGGAGAGCGCGAGACGATCGCGATCACGCGCGCCAAAGCCGATGGCGACCCTTGCGCCTGGCGCGCCGAAGTACGGAGCACGCAGGCGGCGCAAGAATGCACCAAGCGCGGCTTCAAATGCATCTACGTGGCTACGCTACCAGATCTCACCGCGCGCATTTGCGAGTGGCGACAGGCTACGGTACCTGCGCCTTGACAGAGCGACGCTGCATGGAATCGGGTCTCTGGTCCACAGCAATGAACTATGACAAAACTCAGCGGCGTGAGACATGGCAAACGCGAGTTCAAAGCCTACTCGCTGGCGCTCTCGCTAGCCCATAGGATGCTCATAGGACCGCGGCAAGCATGCAATCCACGATGTCGACCAGGGCACAGCCGGACTCGCGCCAGGCTGCGGCCGTCGTTTGCTGGCGCAGCAGCAGGTCCAACCCTGCGGCCGCGAGCTGCGAGCTTGCGCCATCAATGTTCACGCACGTGATCTCGCCCTCCATGGCCTCGAGGTATGCGTCCCTCACCACGCTCTCGGGGTCACGCATGTGGAGCCCGAACCTGAACAGAGCATCGACCAGGAGCCCGCCGGATGCAAACTTGGCGTCGTTTGCGCACCTGCGCAAAACACGGTCGTAGCCCATATCTGGATTGTCAAAGAAGACGCGCTTCTCGAGCAAGCCCACGATGCAGGCCCAGGCATGCGGGCGAGCGGAGTGCCAATCGTGCGGTTGCAGGCTATGAGCAGCGACGCGATGGCGAAGAAGCTCTTCCAGGATCTCGACAGGCCAGCTGAGGAGGCCGTTGCAGCTGCGAGGGCCGCCAAAGGTGACTGGCGCCAGCTGCATGCACTCATGCCGACGGGCCGCGAGAGTGCTCAGGCAAGGACGCTCCCCTCGCTGACGCGTCCCCGTGCTTCGCGACGAACCAGCATTTAAGCGGCACCTCGCCTGAGAGCTGTCCGCTAGATCACTCTGTCGTCGCGTGGACAGAGCGCAACCTCGGGCTTCACCGCGAAAGTATCGAGGACATGGCGGCGGCGCAGGAGACGATGGCAGCAGCGTCGACCTGTCTCCATGCCGGCGAAGCAACTGGCAAGGAATTGTTCAGGCTGGCAGCGCGATTGAACGCGAAGCGCGTGCAGTACCAGCCTGGCGGTCTCTACACGAACCCGTACCAGAAAGACGAACGGAGCTTCAGTGCGATCAAGGAGAGCTTCTCAGGCAGCTGCGACACGCACGTGCGGCTGCTCAAGAAACGCCATCTGGAGGACGCATCGCATGATGAGCAGGAAGAGGCTACGAAGCCGAAAGCGAAAGCCCGGCGAGTGCTGCCCGAGTCGCCCCGCCTAACATGGCATCTGTGCCATGTTAAATGGCAGCGCTTCGGATTAGCAACAGCAAGAGCGAGTGCGTGGCAGACGCCTTAACCGCGCAGTCGCTCGTCGACTTCAAGAAGCGCTGCGCGGAGGAGGGCTTCGGTCGGGTCGCGCTTGTCGTGACGCTCGACTGCGGTGAGGAGATTTTCATGGACACGTGTAAGCTCTTCAAGCGACTCCCACGGGGCGCGTGCTACACTGCTCCTGTTAAAGTCACCGACGTCCATACCGGACGGCCTCGAGGCGAAGGGGCCTGACGTGTGGGTGGAAGCTTGAACATCAGCCCTGGCGTACACCCTGGAAGGTCGCCAGGCGCCGCGTGTGTTCGACGGACGAGGTACCTATCTGTGGCGCGCCCGCCTCGTGGCCATAATCGGGGTCGTCACCTCGGAGAATTCTGTCGAACCCTTCCCCCTGCAAGCTCTCGTCCCTTCTGGGAAACTCGGGTCTGCCAGCGGAGATGACTGTGCCTTTCTGCGTTTTGCTGGAAGGTCAAGCATCCAGTTGCACGGAGCCGACCGCGACTCGGCGAAGGCTTAATGCAGGAGGAGGAGGCAAGATTTCTTACAGGGCCGCAGTCAAGCGTAGACGCCCCCTAGCGAGGAGTCCGTCCGTCGTCCAGAGGGCCAAAGCGTCAGGAACACAATGCAAGAAGTGAGCATGGCGGCATGGCGCCAAAGCATTTTGATCAAGGCGGTCACGCGTGCATTGAGGTTCGCCTTCGGCGTCGGGGCGCGGGTAATGTTCAGAGGGTCCGTGGAGCGCGACGCCGAGTGCATACATCTCGAGGCTTCAGCGAGCCGTCGACACGGCCGGATGCTTTACCCAAAATGTGTTTTTGGATTGCATGATTCTTCTGCATTTGTGTCCATGCTCTTCGGCGGCTTGCGTGGAGGCCGTTGATCGTACATGTTTCGCGCAGTCCGCTTGCTCGGGCTCAACTTGTCGGGGCACCCGCGGGCGTGCTCGCCACGCATCTGCCGCGCCCACGTGGTGCGCGCTCCCAGTGGCACAGAGCATCCGCCTCGCACTTCGGCTCCACGCCCTTGCGCCGAAGGTGGCAGGGCCAGACTACCTGTGCTGGCGGCTCCTTTCGACGCTGCGTGGTGGCAGCAGCGCTCGGTTGCGCGCGCCGACCTCGCGTGCTGGAGGGGACCAACGCGTGCTCCCAAGGCGCCTGGATCTGCGCGGCGTCGAAGAAGTGCCCGGCGAGGTTGGGGCTCAGCGAGAGCTGGAGGCGGCGCATGGCCGCCAACGTCGCAGCCTTGGCCCACGGCTGCAGCCATTCTTCCCTCGCCGCGACGTATTGCCGTAGCTCCTGCTTCAACAAAGCCTCCGCGAGCTGGAGCACGCGGCGCTTGTGGAAGTGAGTGTCATTCGGCCGGTTCATCCTGGCCACGGCTAAGATGTCAATACCTTCGGGATAATTGTATTCCCAATCGGATAGGCGCCGCAGCAAGTTGAAAGAATAACCGATCTTTATGGGGGAGCCGCGCAGCCCGCGCGGTTGAATCGCGTAGAGGCCGCCCTTGTCGCAGCCTGTCCGTGTTGAGCAGAAGCGGACAAACTCGGAGAAGGAGGCCATGGCTTTAATCGTCTGCGCCGATGTCGTTCAAAAGCCGCCGGAACGTGGGCGGCAGTTGTTCCTGCGACGGCTTGGGTCGGTGTCCGCTGTCTGAGCTCTCGAGCCGGGTGGAGGCCACAGACTCGCCTCTCACTGGCGAGCGAAAGCGTTGAGCGCGGCGATGGATTTCTGAAGCAGCGCGGCGATGGATTTCTGAAGCAGTATGGACGCTTCCTCGCGCAGCCCCGAGCATGCCGTGGGTCACGTCGCGCGCAGCACCGGCTTCAAACTGACACTCCTTTGGAATCAGCCCTCGGAGGGAACGGAACAGCGACCTCCACGCACGGGTTGCTTCGCCAGGCTCCAGGCGTGCGACGGACAGAATCCGAACGGGAGTCTGATGTCGCCGCGCGAAGCGGGAAAGATTGCTCGTCACACCCGTTCGCAAGCGGTGTCCATCCTGGATTGCGTACAGACCGGGCCCATCGCAATCCGGGCAAGCCAACTCGAATTCTTCGGGCGTCGCCATTCAGAGGATGAGCTTTACCATGAAGGAGCAGAAACGTGCGTCGACGCTCCTCATCAGATGTTTCGCGCGAGGAAGGTCGGTTGGGGATTTGTGGGTCGTTTGCATGGCTCAAGCAAAATGGCTAACCAAACCAAATGCGGGCTCATATGTTAGAAGATCCGCGATGATGTATTGCCCCCCCTCGCGAGGCTTCGGCAACTCTCCCAGCGGCTCCCTGTTTCCCGCGCTTCCTGGGTAAGCACGCCCGCCTAGGCATGTCGCGAGCGGCGCCCAGCGCCAGGCTGCTGCCGGCTGCTCCTGGCCTCGTCTGCCCCGGAACTTCTGGCCGCCCCCGGCGATTTCCAGTTCCTGGCAATTCCCAGCGCGTTGCGGCTCCCGGCTTCCCGCGCTTCCCGGGCCCTGAGGAAAATGCCAACAAAGGTGTCGCAGGCTTCGAATGCTTCCCTGGCCGCTGCCTCCAGCTGCTGCCGCTCCTCTTGCAGAAGAGGCACCGGTCAAAGTTTTAAGAGATTCATTTTCAAAAGTAGCGGAATTGCTTTGCTCGAGCTCTAGCCACCGAAATCACGGCGGGAGCCTGGAGCCAGACGGCCAGGAGCGGGAGCAGCCGGAAGCGGGGGCAGCCGGGAGCAGCCGGGAAAAAGCCAAAATGACAAACCGAAATCACGCCGGGAGCTGGGAGCCGGACGGCCGGGAGCACCCGGGAGCAGCCGGGAGCAGCCGGGACCAGCCGGGAGCAGCCGGGAGCAGCCGGGAACAGCCAAAAGCAGCCGGGAACCGCCGGGAACCGCCGGGAGCCGCCGGTAGCCGCCAGGAGCAGCCGGGAGCCGCCGGGAGCAGACGGGAGCAGCCGGGAACATCCCAAAATCACGTCGGGAGCCGGGAGCCGGACGGCCGGGAGCAGAAGCAGCCGGGAGCGGGGGCAGCCGGGAACAGCCGGAGACAGCCGGGAACAACCCAAAATTACAGACCAGAATCACGCCGGGAGCCGGGAGTCGGACGGCCGGGAGCAATCTGGAGCAGCCGGGACCAGGTGGGAGCCGTCGGGAACAGCCGGGAGTAGCCGGGAGCAGCCGGCAGGAGCCGGGAGCTGCGGAAGCAGCAACGTGGCGGGAGCAGCCGGGAGTCGCCGGGAGCAGCCGGGGAGACGCTGGGAGACGCCAGGAGTTGCCAGGAGCAGGAGGGAGACGCTGGGAAATGCCGGTAGACACCGGGAGACGCCGGGAGCGGCCAGGAGCAGGGGGGAGCAGCCGCGCTCACGACACCCCTACCTGCTCAGCCCGGGCCGTCAAGTGAGGGCGGGTGGCGGGAGCAGCCGGCAGCAGCCGGGAGCGCTCGCATTCACGACCTCCCCTATACCTGATCAGCGCGGGCCGTCAAGTGAGGGCGGGTGGCGGGGTCGCCGGGAGCAGCGGGAAAACGTCGGGTGACGCTGGGAGACCTCGGGAGGCGCCGGGAGCAGCCGGGAAACGCCGGGAGACGCCGGGAGACGCCGGGGCCGGGAGCAGCCGCGCTCACGACACCCCTAGCGGAGTCTTTACATATCATTGGAGTCGACGTGGAAACTGCAAATGCACAATCAGTTGCAGCCAATATTCTTGATACCATGTCGGCCGCCATGCTTATTAGATACATTGCAGTGGCCTATGGAGTCCGTGACACTCGCCGATCCTTTATTTTTTTCCGGATTCACGTCACCGATGCTTGGAGCAGCTGGGCTTGTAACGGATTCAGAGATAG